CAAGCCCAAGGCCCAATCCAAAGGCCCAAAAGTCAAACAATGAACCAAAGCCCAACATATGGCCCAATATTCCAAATTGGGCCCAAACCTCTACATAGTCTCACCCTAAGGCCCAACATTTATTCCAATCAAAACATTTGGCCTTCCAATGGCCCAACACCTCATAATCATCAAGGCCCAGTTATGGTCCATCTATGGCCCATCTATGGCCTAATTTTCCAAATTGGGCAAAAACCCCTTACATGGGCCTTACCCTAAAGCCCATCCAAATATTATAGTCCATATGCTTGTTCTTGGATGGCCCATCAATAGCCCAATCACCAAAGCCCAATAGAAAGGCCTAACTCAAGGCCCAAGCAAAATTAGGGTTTTCACATAAAATGACGATTAGGGTTAAACTTAACCCATTAAGGACTTAATCCATTAAGTCCATCACTCTACTAGGTCAAACATACAATGTGGTCGGGATTAATTCACAATCCCTATCCAATGGTCCAAACATGCGGGTCCCGACAATTCCAAATTAACATATACAAAATTAGGGTTTTCTAAACCCTAATTAGGGTTTCCAACCCAATCGCAATCCAATTAGTCCATTAGTTAAGCTTTTAGGTTAATTAATTGTTAATTAAGTCGGGCACCACCCACTACCACCTCGGGTAGTGGTGGTCAACGGCGGCTCACGGCGGCGGCCACACCTCACGGTGGTGGTTATGAATTTCCTTGATTATTACGGCCACTAATTACAATTGTACAACAATATCCAAATGAACACACACACAAAATAACACACGCACACACACTCAGCCACCCTTGTGGCGGCAGGCGATGGTTGGAGGTGACAGCCACCACCTCATGGTGATGGTGGTGGTGGCTTTTCTCGTGAAGTCCGGCCAAGCAACACCCAAACACGACCTCAACTGAAACAAACATGTATATAACACCATTTCACACACACACAGTAAAAAACGCACACAGCCACCTTCCACGGTGGTTGGTGGCGACGGAAGATGGCAGCAGGCGGCGGCCACCATAGCTAGCGGCCATGGTGGTTCTTTTCCTCGGTTTCCGGCCAGCAACACTCGCACAATACATCTCGGGTTCAACAGCAGCACATATCCATGCATGACACAAGACCATCGCTCCCAACCACCGACTAGGCGGCTGGTGACGCTGGAATGAGCTGAGGTGGCAACCAAAAGCCATTGTCGGCGGCAACGACGGGTCTGACGTCAAACCCATAGGGAGGAACGAAGAAGTGAGATGTTGTTGGCATACCGAGAGCCTTCTGGGTGGCGTCCGACAGTGAGGTTGCAGGTGGGTTGGGTGGCGTCCGACAGTGAGGTTGCAGGTGGAGGAATGGTGGTCGGACTCGACACCAGCGGCGGCGGTTGGGATAGCTTCTCATGGTGGCGGCTGAATAAGAGATTAGGTTTAGGGTTTCATGGTATGGGTGACAGGTTTATATGCCCCGTCCAATTTCAAACATTGATCCATATTGACACTTTCAGTCCCTCCTTCTCCTTTTTCTTTCAAATTAAATCCAACATTTACCAATTCAGCCCTCAGCATTCCAAACTCATTTCAATTTAGGTCCAATATTTACCAAACACCCCCTGACCTGTGAAAATCTTTACAAAAAAAATCCCGGAATTACACTTTAACCCCCGAATAATCCAAATTATAACATTTGGCTCCCCGAAACCAACACCCCGCTACATATTATGGATTTTTGGGCTACTATTCATTCATTAATTTTATCTATTTATTTATTTAATAAACGGGATGTTACATAATGGTCACTAAATTAGTAGGTAATCAAATTCATGCAAGTTAATGTTCACTAACTACACAAAATATGAATTAAAGCAATCTAAGTATCAATTTTTAGCATGCTAGGTATAAACAATCAAACACAAGCTTAATATCAACTAGAAAATCCATAATAAAATAACTAAACCATGAGTTCAAGCTTCATCTAGCTAAACAGAAGCAGCTAGATTCAGCTACTCATAGCAACAATCAAAAACACAATCTTCATTAATAAGAACATAGTAATTGTACCAAATTAAGAACAAAGTTATGATCTTTAACTTCTCCTCCTTCCTTGGATGTTATCACTAATTCTCTGCCTTCTTTTTCTCTGAAAATCGACTTTTGGACTCTCTATTCTCTCCAGCCAACCTTTTTTAATTCGTAAATACGAGGTTTTTGAACTCCACGTCGTGGACTAGAGATTCACGTCGTGAATTTGAATGTATCCTTATCGAGCAAGGATTCTGACTTCCCGTGTACTCATCTTCTAGAATCGCCCATGCCACGTCGTGTAAATTAAGCCCATGACGTGAATTTAGTTTTTTCGTGGGATTTTCTTTTCTTTAATTCTCCATGCCTCCAAAGTTCCATTACTTGTCGCTTTTGGTCCTTGTTCTTCAAGATTGCTCCTTCTGGCTGCAAAATACAATTTAATCTTGTAAGTACCACTTATCTTTGCAAATAACAAAAATATTAATCAAAATGTATTAAAATATTGCCTAAAGATGTGTATGAATATTGCAATATCATATATGTCAAATTATAGGTGTTAAGCTTGGAAATCCTAGTGAATATCCAAACTCAAAGTCAACCCCCCCCCCCCCCCCCCAAAATTAGTTTCAAAACGTCATAAATTCATTAGTTCCAATTAAGCTTGGTAATCTGGTGGTAACTTGGTAAATCTTCAGGAAACACTTTGATCTGATGAATCATTTGTCTAGCAACTCTTGCAATAGATACATTAAATCTTTGAATCAGTGGGTGTTAGTCGATACAATGCCTTTGCGAGTGGCATAATTTTTGGCATCAAGTCAATATAAAATTCACTTTTCGATCCGGTGGTAATCCAGGTAAGTTATGGGGAAACAATTTCATAAAATCCCATACTATATCGACTTCTTCCATGGTCACATTTTCAACATATTATTAAAACTAATGGCAACCTTCGTAGTCACCCTATATGACATCTAGTTTGCATTCGAAGGGAACTTCACTCTCACGTTATATCAAAGCCTCCAATTTCCATGGGAATAAGGTTCGCATGAAATTTAACTCTACTACATTCAATTATGATGGTGGGGTATTGAACACTAGTTCAGACTGTCTTACCGTCTGATATATCTACAATGACTCTTACCTCTAGCATACTCGAAGGAATATTGATACCACTTTTTTTATAAAAAATGGAGGCTTCGCACATAAACAATCATCAAATGAAGAACATCAGAAGATTTGAGTGGAAACCCAAAAAAGGAAAACCTTGAAGACATCTAATGGCATTATATATAGTCATACAAAGATTCCTAATCATATTGTAAAATCCCCAATATTTAGGAAACTTTCTTAACTAATGGTGAGACCTTAAAACCAACTTATAACTCACTAGTAGATGGAAATTTCAAAACTCACATAAAATGATAAAAATATAGCAGCAATAAAAAGTGTTGCATAAAAATCAAAAGTACATGTTGATGCTGTCATATGCCAACACTTTCAAGAAAAGATTGTCTGATATCACATGAAAGAAAATTGTTTCAGAGCATCTTTAAAAACGGGTGATTAAGAACACACCCAACCTAATTTCAGTTTCAAATTCAATGAGGCCGAAGACACACGCAATCGCCAGGAATGAACTCCTCTCAACTAAATCGTCACCGAGTCCATCCTTTAATTTCACCTTCGTGGATCTTTTAAAATAGCTATCAGGAATTTGAGCTTTGTTCCACCTTTGATTGATTAAGTACCCAAACCACAAAGGTAAAAATTCAAAACTGGTTTAGAAATCAAATTTTGAAAGCCAATCGGTCACACGGACTAAAACTCTTCCAATTATTTTCAATCAAAAGAGAACACGGGGTAGGATCCTCTCCATTGTCATCAATCGGAAAACCCAATCAAGAACCTGATGCTCGGTGTCTTCCTCCAAATAAGAATTTGATTCCCCTGAAGGCTTGAACGATCCCTTCCTTCACTTGATAGCCGAGAATTCAGCCCTCAATCAAGTCCCATTCTGATCAGACGAAGGAATCACAAATGCATGGCCTTTCATCAAACAAGAACTCTCTCGGTTGTATAGACTTTCAGATTAAAGAAGTTCGAGGGTACACTCGAAAATCTCTAATCGGATAAAACTCATTGTTTTAGAAGAGAGAATGAAGAAGATGTTATGATAAAAGTGTACCAATCTGATTTCGAAATTGATCATATAACGGGAACCTAACTTCCTATCTTAAAACTGCCATATGATAGGTACATGAATGTAACTTCCTGTCCAAAAATGTCACACTAACTGTCACAAACTAACTTAAAAAATGGGTCTAGAACTTGGATCTCAATACCGGATTTCGACCCAGCCAGGGCTCTGCCCCTTGGACCTCGCTCCCAAGGGTGCTGCCCCCCAACCCCCGTCAGTTCAGGGCTTCGCCCCAAAATAGTAGTGTGCTTTTTAACCAAGATAAACTTAAACAAATGTACACTCCCTATCACCCTAACTTGTTTAATATTTATCAAGGTAACATTGATCAACAAATTAATCTCATTACACTTAAATAATATTAGTGATACAAAATCACCAACATCGGTTGAAGTTATAATGCCAATTTGTTGGGCGGCATATGCACACTAAAGCAGTAATAGCGGTAAGGAATTATGCAAATATGATGAAAAAAAAACACACCAAAGAATGTGGAACTGAACTTCATGAACTGCTTTTGACAGTAATGGCGTACAAATATAGAAGACTTAGACAATTAACTCTTCTAACTAATAATTTACATATGTACTTATACTAAAACACAAGTATAAGACTTTGTCCTTCTCCACAAGCAGGCCCTTTGACTTAGCTTCAAGTCATATAACCCACACTTGGCTGCAAAGGTCCAACTAAAAATCTGCCTTCACCCTCCTGATTGTAACAAAAAAAAAAAGCTTTCACTAATGAATGCAAAGTCTGAAACCTTCTGTATCTAGACGTTCTTATGGATCTTTGAAAGGGAAGATAAGACTTCATTCATGTCAGGTCGATCCTCTGGGTTCATTTTTGTGCAATATAAGGCCAACTTAAGTAGTTGTTCTATAACACCCTGTTTCGTGGAGAAATTAGAAGCCAGATCAGGGTCTATAATTTCCATCAGCTCATTTATTCCATTTGAAAGTGCTCTGTCTACTAGTTGTGGCAAAGTGATCTGGACTCCCTCCTCTTCAGTAAGGACACTTGTCGGTCTTTTTCTTGTTATAAGTTCCATCACTACTATTCCAAAGCTAAATACATCCACTTTTGTTGTCAGTTTCTTCATATACGCAAATTCTGTTGGGAAACATATATGTAAAAATGCGTTAGCATGACTTTCAAGGTCAAAAATATTATAACTCAACATCAAAAGTTACATGTATTTTCTTATAATATAAATAAAGAAAAATTATGTAACATTCTGTATGTTGAAAAGTTCAGTCCAGTTATCAAACTATTTTCATTCACAATGTTGAAAGCAAGTGTAACTATTGCTACTTTTTTTTTCCTGAAAACCGAAGAAGAAAGAAGAATTGGTGATTCGTTACCTGGTGCTAAGTAACCAATTGTGCCTTGAAATGCGGAAGCAGAAGAGATGTTGCTTCCATCTTGTTGATGAACTCCAAGAATCCTAGCTGTGCCAAAATCACTCACATGAGCATCCCACTTTTCATCCAGAAGTATGTTAGAAGGCTTCAAATCACAATGAACTATAGGAAAATCATATCCTGAGTGTAAGTACACCAATCCTCTGGCTACAGAAACCAAAACATCTACTCTTTCAGACAAATCCCATCTTGATCTATCAATCCCAGAGTCGTGTATAATCCTATCCAAATTACCGTTTTCCATGTATTCAAGAACCAAAGCCTTTAGCTTCCCACTCTCCCATGCGTAACCAAGTAACTTCACTAGATTTCTATGCCTCAGTTTCCCTAATGTCTTCATTTCTTTGTTGAAGCTTTTCTCAGATTCTGCTGAAAACTGGGTGATGTTCAAATTTTTCACTGCTATCATCCTCCCACCTTCTAGTCTACCCTTGTACACAGTGCTTAAACTAGTTGTACCCAGAATGTTACCTTCACTGAAGTTGTCGGTAGCATCTTCCAATTCTTTTCTATCAAATCTTCTGAGAGTGAACCCTGCGGTATTTTCTGGTAATGTTGGGTTCTCAAGCTCTTTGACTTTGGCTTTTCTAACATGCCGACAACATAATACAGCCAAAATGAATACAAGAAGCAATGTAAGTGATCCGAGTATTGAAAGAATCAATACAGCCTTTCTGGATAGTGAGCGCTTTGATCGACTTGATGAGGCGCATAATTCGGTGTTGTTTGTAACACACAGAGATGGGTTTCCCTGTAATCCAACTGCGCTTATGTTTCTGAAAATACCAGTATCTGGAACACGTCCTTCTAATTCGTTGAATGAAAGGTCAAGTTTTTTCAAAACCGAAATGTTGCCAAAACTTTCTGGAATCAAACCGTTGAATTTGTTGTGTGAAAGATCAATAGAAGTAAGACGAGTCAAATTCGCCATAGTTCCAGGGATCTCGCCATCGAACTGATTTCTTGAAAAGTTTATGGTGGAAAGCAGATCAAGAGGAGGGAATATTTCTTCTGGAACACTACCAGAAAGCTGATTTCCAGACACATCAAAACTTCTCAAGTTTCTGCATCTTTGAAGCGTCACTGGAATCCCTCCTGACAGATTATTGTTTGAGATGTAAATGGCTTGTATCATCTCCATCTCGCCTAATTCATTTGGTATCCTTCCTGTAAGAAAATTGTTGGAGAAGTCGATAAAGATCTGTGTATTTTTCATACCTGCAATCACGGACCTTGAAATCGACCCTGTCAGCATGTTGTGTGAGAGGTCTATCGAAAGCAACTTGTTAAGTTTTCTCATACTATCAGGGATTGAGCCGTTAAACCTGTTTCCACTTACATCTAACTGAGAAAGCTCCTCAAGCTTTGAAACGGAATTCAGAATAGAGCCCACAAATTTGTTGTTCATCAAGTGCAGTTCTGTAAGCTGTTTGAGCTCAAAGATTTCATCTGGAATCTCGCCTTCCAGATTATTGTTACCAAGAAAAAGGCTTTGAAGGGATGAAATGTTTGAGAATTCTACAGGAATGGTACCCGAAAATTGGTTCTGCCCAAGGGTTAAATAGATCAAACTAGTTAGATTTCCGATTTCACCTGGGAGGAAGCCAGATAAGAAATTACCATGAAATTGCAGAATTTGGAGATTAGAGAGTCTTCCGATGCTCGGTTTCAACAATCCAGTGAAATTGTTATTTGCCATATTTAAAATCACAAGACTTGAGCAATTGAAGAGATCATCCGGGATTCTTCCTGACATTCTGTTGTCGCCAACAGCTAGATTTGTAAGATTTGACAACTTTCCTAAACCCTGAGGCATTTCTCCAGTCATCCGATTACCAGCAACATTTAACCAACGGATATTTGTGCAGTTGGTGATGCTAGATGGAATAGATCCCTCCAGAAAATTATCACTAAGAGACAAATCTAGCAGATTATGAAGCGACCCAATGCTTGAAGGAATTACACCTGTGAGGGAATTTGAGCTAATACTTAAGTACATCAAATTCACCAATCTGGTTATGGATGCCGGAATCTCCCCAGAAAGATTATTCTGATGAAGGGTAAGAGATTGTAATGATTTCAGTGAATGGATATCGGGAGAAAGACTCCCTATGAGATGATTCTCTCCTAGTTGCAAAACCAATAATGATTTTAATCGATATAACGTGTTTGGGATCTTGGAATTCAACTGATTTTTATACAACCGCAAAAACTGTAAACCCACAAGATCTCCAATTTCAGGAGGAATGCTTCCAACGAGCTTGTTGCTGTATAAATTAAGAGCTGATAGATTCGTGCAATGACCAATTTCAGGTGGTATTTTCCCAGAGAGTGAATTCTCAAACAACTGAAGAACTTGTAAATTTGACAAGTTTCCAATCTGTCTAGGAATGATACCAGTAAGTTGGTTTTGACTGAAGTCAAGAGCTATCAACTCTTTTAGATTACCTACAGAAGCAGGAACTGAGCCTTGTAAACTGTTATTATAAGCTCCAAGTTGCTGAAGATTTATCAAATCACCGATTCTATCAGGGATTGTACCATTGAGTTTGTTGTCATCAAGGCTAAGTTCTAACATGGAAGTGATATTACACAAGCTTTCCGGAATGATTCCAGTGAGTGAATTGTTTCCAAGGTCAAGTATCTGCAGATTCCGGAGGTTTCCCAGTTCCGATGGAATCGACCCTGAGAGGGAATTGGTGTAAAAGGCAAGTCCAGTAAGCTGTGTGCAATACCCCAACTGGGAAGGAATGTTTCCAGTAAATAAATTATAAGATAGATCAAGAACCTGGAGGCTGGAAAGGTTTCCAAGAAAAGGAGAGATTTCGCCTTTGAGTTGTGTTTGTTGAATAGAAATGGAAACTACACGTTGTGAGACATCATCACATTGGATTCCAGTCCAGTTACAGTGGTGGATGGAATCAGCATTCCAATCCAGGAGTGCACCGGTTGGGTCATCTGTGATTGAGTTCTTGAAATGTTCCAAAGCATTAGCTTCATCTTTTAAGCTAGAATCAGCAGATAGAACACAAAGTAACAGGAAAGGTAAAAGGACAAGGGTTTTGAACACCATAGATAATTTTGAAATGGAGATAATTCTATGAGCATGAAGCTGATGCATTGTATATTACTCAATAGTCAATACAATATAGAAGTCCACTAGGACGAGTTTTGTCAACCCGTAGTGTGTGAAAACATATTAAAGTCTTTACAGCTAAAAAACTTTATTGACGTTATTCTTATCCTGGGTCCATACTGCCATTCAAGCTCCTTATTAGTATTCAATTTGATTCGAAATATATAAAACAGAAAAAAACAACATACCAAGTTTGCAAATTCTAGTATTAACCATCTAACTTGTTATATCATTACAAATGATAATTAGAAATTGCAAGCTGTGATAATTTTTTGCATTTGTACAAAATAATAAGGAAATGACAATACGTAAGTGTAATGAGTGTCCATTATGAACTTAACTTGCGTACTACTAATCCATTAGTAATGATGAGTCCATATCGGGGTGCAATTACAAGTGGGTTCAATAGTAGGAGAATTGCTTTACATTGAATTATAATTAGAATTAAATTAATTATGGTAATCGGGTTGTAAATTGTAATAGAAATATGTAAGGAAACCATATTTAAGGAGAATGTTTTGTGGCCCGCCATGCATTGATGTTATTCAAACCCGTCATGCATTTACGTCTTATATAGCAAGTGGATAGTACTTGTGTTTCTACTTATATTCACACCAAACTAGCTATATAGTCGCAAAAGAAAAGTTGTCAGCTTCTTGGACGAGAATCACCTTCGTAATGTTTGCCATGTGATTCTATGTCGACAATAAGATTTTGTCCAAGGAATTCCTCAATTAATATTGTAAGCCAAGTTGCATACGATATCATATAATTCTAGCTAATTTTAAGTTCATGACTCATAATTAAGATCAGAATTTTGTGATACATAATTTATATTTGAGAAAACTTGGAAAATGGTCCATGTGATTTATAACTTTTTTTTGCTAAGGTTTAAAAATATTTCTAACTTGCAAAAATAATCCCTTTTGGCAAGTTTCATTGTGGTTATGATCCCTTTTGGTAGGGGTGTAACGGAGTCGAGCTAGCTTATTATATACTCGAGACCTAGTCGAAAAATACTTGAAATCGACTCAGTTCAAGTCGATTCGAGCTCGAGATCGAGCTACTCGAGTATATTATCGAGTCGAGCTCGAGAATAGAAATACTCGATAGGCTCGTGAAGCTCGCGAGCTTAATCGAGCTTAGTTATATCTGTACTTTTACCCTTTATTTTATTCATACTTTACATACTCGAGTCAAGCTCACGAGCTTAGTCGAATCTCTATTTCAATTTAATGTAATTTTATCTTAGTCAACTCGAGCCGAACTCGAAAGTGGCGAATACTTTATCGAGATCAAGCCCGAGTTTGAAATTGAGGCTCGAGTCGAATTCCGAGCACTATGTTTTTGTCGAGTCGAGTTTCGAGCTTGGCGGTACTCGACTCGACCTTTTGGCATGTTTTCATTGTGACTGTGGTTTTTGTCGAACTTAATATGATTATTATACCTTTTATTTTATTTCTTTTTATGTTTATTAATCATTTTAATATTTTTATAATTAAAAAATAGATAGGGTCCGCCACACACATACACCTATACTATGCCCTTGAAAATTCGACGTTCAGCCCCTCGTCTAATTCATCTTAATTCTTCGACAAGCTTTTTCGGAAACTTTCTCATAGTGAAAACAAGATCCATTTGTTTATGAAACGTTTTCTAAGGAAAAATCACAAATCAAAATTCTTGTCTTCTCGAGTTTGTCTTCGTCAAAGAAATCTCAACTATTAAACACTCAATTATAATGTTTAAAAAACAGTATCAAGTGACTCCATTAGAACATTCTTCCTAGTCTATGAACTCCGACAACTAATTTAGCAAGAGAATAATATCATAAGAAATTATTCAACCTTCTCGTGGTGATATTAAATCGGATGATATTAAATCGGATAACACTAAATGGAATTGTTGGGCATCATTTGTTTAAACCTTGGAGGGATATCTTTATGGAAGGGTAGCATTATGGAATGATAGCTTTTCTTTACTTTATGAGTAAATTACACGAATGGTCTCTATGGTTTGGGTAATTTGCATGTTTGGTCTCTAACTTATTTTCTTAACTTAGAAGGTCCATATTGTTTGTTTTTGTTATACGCTGTGAATTGGTGGGGTTGGAGTGTTTATTTAAATAAATTTAAAAAATCAAGGGAAAAATAGTATTTTTAGGTAAGACGGGAACCAAGCACGTAACAAAAACAAACAGCAGGGACCTTCCGAGTTAAAAAAATAAGTTAGGCACCAAACGCATAAATTACCCTAAACCATAGGGACCATTCGTGTAATTTACTCTTGCTTTATTAGATAATGTTCATACTTTCCAAGATTTATGGGATTTGTATAAATATGGATAGATTATTTTAGTATTTATTATTATATTATTAGTCTTTTTAGGATATATATTTAGGTGGTGCTCAACCATTGCTTGTGTTAAGAAAATAGTTTTAATTGTCTATGAATATTTAGTAAAGACTTATGCCTTGAAAAATCTTTTGCCTTATCTATTTTCTATTTTTCTTCATTACGTTTTGGTTGCTCATACATTGAACAATAACTCAACCTTAATATAACATACAATTAGATCATTGGTTTCCAACAAGTCCTCAAGTTTATTCAAATGTCTACGTACAACTATCGCATAGACAAAACAACCAAAAACCTTCACGATAATTGAGTCGGACAACCACGAAGTCAATTCGGCGCAACCGGACAACTCCAGTATCAACCCGGAAAGTCCTTATGTCAAATGTCTCCAACCCAAAACAACCCCCATATACTCATATTGTGTACCCGTTTTCTTCAATATTAACTGACACGGAAAGTCCTAGTGAGATTAGGCCAAAACGATTTAGGTCACTTACCGATAGCTATAATTATGTTAAAAATGTGATCCTAGAACTCGGAGAATTTGTTGATGATTGCAACGGATCAACCCTTGAATTTTAAAGAGGTGATTACCTGTAAACCATGGCGAGAGGAAATTCAAACGGACTTCGATGCAATCAAGAAAAACAAGACGTGGAAACTTACCAACTTGCCACCGGGTTACAAGGTGATATAATTGAAATGGATCTTTAAAGTGAAAAAAGACAATCTTGGAAATGTGATAAAACATAAAGTTTGACTTGTCGCAAAAGGTTATGTGCAAAAACAAGGAGTAGACTATAATGAAGTTTTTGCATCGGTAGTGCGACTTGACACCATAAGGCTCATTCTTGCCTTAGAAGCTTAAGATGGGTGGGTTATCTACCACTTAGATGTCAAGTCGGATTTAACTTAATGGGGATCTCGAAAGAGAGGTTGTAAGTCAACTTAAAAGATATGTTGATAAAGTACATAGTCACCAGGTGTTTAAACTCTCCAATGTGCTTTATGGTTTACGACAAGCTCTTGGAGATTGGAACATTTGTCTGGATAAAAGCCTAAAAGGACTTGATTTTTTCAAACTGTTCACAAGACATAGCTATGTACAAAAGGAACCCGAAAAGAAACACTCTTTTAGTTGGTGTCTACATTGACGAGTTCATCATTATAGGATCAAACAACGAAGACAATGTTAAATTCAAAGAGCAAATGAAAAAAGAATTTGAAATTAGTGATTTGGATTTGCTTTCTTACTATCTCGGAATAGAATTATCACAAAAGAAGTGGGGAATTTCTTTTCGACAAACGGATTACGCAAAAAAAAAAATTTGGAGCAATTCATGTTACTAGATTGCAACTCAACATCACCTATGTAAAATAACTTGAAGATTAAGCAAGATGAACATGGTGAAAAAGTTGACCCAACCGAATATAGGATAGTAGTGGGATGTTTCACCGGATTTTCATATGTGGATGGTGTTGCTATTCATTTCACGGAGCAACCAACTACCTTGCATTTTCAAGTGGAAAAATATAGTTTATGGTATGTCAAAGGAACCCCTAATTACAGGCTCAACTATGGAAAGGGTTGTGAAGTTGAAGACTTGGTTAGGTTTAGTGATAATGATTATGGAGGTGACAAGGTTGGTGTTAAGAGTAGAAGTGGGATGATTTTCTATCTAGGAAGAAATGCAGTGACATAGAAATCTCAAAATCAAAGGATTGTTGCTTTGTCGACATGTGAAGCTGAGTTCATGGCAGTCACGACGGTTGCATGTCAATCCATTTGGCTTAGGAAGGAAAAATTGTAGTAGAACATGTTGACTCAAAGGATCAACGAGCAGGCATCTTTACAAAATACTTGACACATATGAAGCATGGATAAATGAGAAATATGATCGGCATAACGGATACCGAGCTTGGTTTAGTTTAACGGGGAGAATGTGATATTAAACGGTGTAATATTAAATGGAAGTGTCGAAAATCATTTGCTTACAACCTTGGAATGATACATTTATAGAAGGATAGCTTTATGGAAGGATACATTTATGGAAAGGTAGCTTTATAGAAGGATAACTTTATTTTGAATAAAAAATGTCAACGTCCTTTCTGAAAGACCTTGTATGCCCAAAAGTCATTATAGAATAATATTGTTAATAACATATGATCTTATAAGGTCACACCTTATAACAAGTTACCACTAATTGATTATTTATTATTATAATTTGTACATTAATAAGTATCAACATTTGTATTTAATTGGAAAACATTATTTTGGGAAATAATGTTTTAGCAACATATTGGGAATTATTGTTTTTAGGAAATAATAATAAAAAGAATAAAACTAGTGAATTATCATATTGTATGATTATTTAAGACATGTACAAATATTTTGTCATTTTGAGTAATCATATACTTGGAATATAACTAACTAGTTAAAGATAAAGTACTAAACAATTGAGTTTTGTCTCTTTCACTAATCATGGGGACAAGGCATGGGATTGTTTTTTATTAGTTTAATGCTTAGAGCATGCTTGTAAGAAAGTTTATGATCTCATTCTTTTAAGCCTTGCCTTTTGTACTAAATGTTGGTATAAAATAAAGGATGAGACATGAACTGAAGCTAC